AGCAACAAGGCAAAGAAGGAACCATTCGAATGGGAGAAGATATTTGCAAACAACACCTCTGATAAGGGTTTAATATCCAAAATATATGAAGAACATGTGCAACTCAACAACAAAAAATAAAACAACAATCCAATTTAAAAATGGGCAGAGGACCTGAACAGACACTTCTCTCAAGAAGACATATAAATGGCCAACAGACATATGAAAAGATGCTCAACTCCACTAGCTGTTAGGGAAATGCAAAAACCACAGTGAGATACCACTTCACAGCTGTTGGAATGGCTGTCATCAACAAGACAAGTAATTACGAGTGTTGGAGAGCTCGTGGGGATAAAGAAACCTTCATACACTGCTGATGGGACTGCAAACTAGTACAACCACTATGAGAAACAGTATGGAGTTTTCTCAAAAAAATAAGAATAGAATTACCATAGGATCCAGCAATCTCTCTTCTGGGTATTTACCCCCCAAAACCTGAAAACATTTAAAAGATAAGATATGTGCACACTCATGTTCATAGCAGCATTGTTCACAGTGGCCAGGACATGGAAGCAATCGAAGTGTCCTACAATAGATGACTGGATAGCTGTGGTATTAAGTAAAAAAAAAAAAAAAAAAGTGGCTCCACTACACACTAGTTGCCTCACCCTGGACAAGTTACTTAACTTTTCTTAGCTTCAGTTTCCTACCTGTAAAACAAGTATTATAATAGTAACCACTATACATAAGGTTGTTTTGAGGAGTAAATAAACTATTATGCAATGTATTTAAAACAGTGCTTGGCATATAACAAGTATCCAATAAATGTTATTGCTATTTTATCATTTTCACTTTACAGCCAAGAACCAAGATAAGTGATTTGTTCAATATCACACAGCTAAGAAGTAGCAGAGCCGAAAGCTGAATCTAGACCATCTCATTCCAAATCCTATACCCTTCACATTGGACCACACCTGCCTTCAGCCATTCTTGTCTGGACTAAGTCAACACAAATGACTACCAGCTAGTTTCTCTGCCTCACCCATTCATCCCCTTAGAGTCCTCCTTGTCTTTGTAACTACTCACCAGGGTAACTCTGAGTAGGTGACAACTAAGCAATCAGGTGGAACTCTTACTCAAGTGCCTTTCCTTGCTTAGTACAACCTACTCATAAGAAATGTCTCCTAACACATCACCCAGAAAAAGAGCTCTCATCTTTGATTTTTCTAATCGTGTTGACTGAGCACAATTACTATGATAAATTATTATCCTATCATGTAAAAAACCAAACCCATGTCAAAAGGGCCAAAAAAAAAGACGAAATTCTGTTCAAGATCTGAAATATTAACCATAATCTAATATTGGCACCTTTACAGTTATTTTTAAAGATTTTTATTAAAATATAGCTAACATACAATATTATATTAGCTTCTGGTGTACACCATAGTTATTCAACATTTAGAGACCTAAAGAAGTGATCACCGTAATATAGTTATTTTTATTTCACGTGCTCTCTCGATCTTTGTCCACATAAAGTTTTTCAATAACTGCAATCATAATATTTAAATATTTAAATCCAACTTAACATTCAAACTTTATGTCCACATAAAGTTTTTCAATAACTGCAATCATAATATTTAAATATTTAAATCCAACTTAACATTCAAGCTATTTCTCACACAGATAATGATTCCTTGATTAAATTCATCATTTTCAGTAGCAATATGAAACTCATATTGGTGCCATTTCCTTATTAACAGAAATTTACCAAAAATGTTTTGTACATGCTACTATTTTCTTCTGTGAAATTACTTCCTTAATTCCTGGGTGAAAGAGTAAAAACTTTTTAATAAGGATTTACTAATATGTACCTAAAGGCTTAAAAATATTTATACCACATGACCCAATAATTCCACTTACAGGAATTTATCCTAAGGCAAAAATAAGAAATAAAATTGTTCATCACAGAATTATTTATAATTGTGAAAAACCAGAAGTAATCTAAATGGTTATAAAAATTATGCTATAGCGATGTGATTAGCATATAACCTACATGCCTATATAAAGAATAATATTTAGTAAGAAATAAAAAACATTTCTCATCTCTTTCATGCTTATTACTTAACCGTTACAATACATACCCTATTATATCTATTTTATAGATAAGGAAACTGAAGCTCAGGAAGGTGAAGTAACTTGCCCAAGGCTACAAAATGGCTGACAGAGCTGGAATTTTAGCCCAGAGAACACAATATTTTGACAGCTGATCTGTACTTTCTTCTTTATGTTTTTATGGAGGTTCAATATTATTGCCAACAAACATGTTACTTAATAGAAAAAACACAAAATAAATTTTACTTTTTGAAAAATCAATTTGCTACAGGCTCTTAGAGTAGGGAAATGGACTGCCTATTTAAGGATTCTTATATATCAAAATATTTTAAGACATCTCCTTCACATGAAGACAGTAGCAGTATTTTTGATAGCAGTTGATTCAGAAAGTATCCAATGACAAAAAAAAAAGTATAAATTCAACAATACTTTTTCTAGCATTGGAATTTCAATAATCACAATAGTATCTATGAATTAACGGGCCCTCAAGATATGGCCCATATGCTGGAAACCACAGAGGGATCGCAGGTCAACAAGTGAGAAGACAGAAATCACGATAGTAGGAACAATAATACAATATTTACTTTTTCAATTCTTTTCATAAACTTGTCTATTTTTTTTAAACTTTCCTATTTTTAAATAGGAAATATATTTCCATGGTTTGAAAACTTAAAAATATAAAAAGATATTGTCTCCATCCTATCCTGTCTCCCATCTGACTACTTCACCACTATTACCCACCCCTCAGCATAGCTATTCATTTTTAGGTATTCTTTATGTATATGCAATCAAATACAAATGTATATTTTTGCCTTTTTAAAATACAAATATAGAAATATTATACTTGCTTTTATTTCCTAACAGTACGTTAAAGAGATCTTTCCATATCAGTACATGGAGAGATTCTCCATTTTTTATAGCTGCACAGTATTCCACTGTTAATACACATCAACACTGATTCTTTAATTAATCTCCTACTGATAAACATTTGGTTTGAAATACACTTCCTTTATCTTCTTTATAATAAAGTATATAATAGATATACACCTGTAGATACCTATTGTATATCTTACTGTGAACCAATCCAAATATGGGGAATGCAGCCTCTCAAATAGAAAACTCCCTTAAAAAATACCCTCCCACCAGTACTTCTGCCTATACTACATAGATGCCAACAGAATAGCTAAAAGAAGATGGTGATAGAGGCAGTGCTAGTCTGCCAGCATCCATTCCAATCTCCAGAACTGAGAAGAGGAGATGGTCCAGGTCCACTCTCCATTAATTGCTGTCATGTACCCCTAAGAGAAGCAGCATGGTATAACTACAGAAGAAACATATTTGGAGTCAGGAGATATGGGTTTGAGTGTCAGCTTCACCATTTCCTGGCTATGTGATTCTGAGCTTTAAACTCTCTGAACTTCAGGTTCTTCATTTGTAAAGTGAAGATAATATTAACGCTCTCAGTCTAATTGTGAGGACTACAGAAAGAAGATGAATACAGTCGTCTCTCAGTATCCTGGACCCCCCAGTATACCAAATTCCGTGGATGCTCAAGTTCCTTATATAAAATGGCATGGTGTTTGCATATAACTTATACACATACTCCCATTTACTTTAAATCACCTCTAGATTACTTATAATATCTAACAGAATGTAAATGCTATCTTGTAAATAGTTGTTACACTGTATTGTTTAGGGAATAATGACAAGAAAAAATGTCTGTTCATGTTCAGTACAGAGGCAACCATTTTAGGTCTAACTATGCAGTACACTTCAGAACAATGTAACTTTTTTTTCCCCCAAATATCTTCAATCCTGATTTCATTAAATCCACACTGTGGAACCCTCAAAAAAAACAGGCTGAGTGTGCATGCAAAATATTCTATAAACCATGATATATAATACACAATGCTAATTATTATTTTGGGTCTAAACCAGTTAGAAGAATTTAGAAATAAAATATATATATAAAACCTCACCAATAAGAGTTGCCAAAGAGCAATGAGGTACTGTTGGCGTGAACCTGATAATAACCAAATAGTCCTCTTCATTTATCTCCTGAACCTCCACGCAACTTTCCGTTACCACTTCCAGTTCTTCCAAAGTATTGGGCTTCTCTGGGTCCCGGATAGTTCGAATCAAATCTAAAGAATCACAGACAAGGTATTATATTAAAACAAATATTCAAAATATGGGTGATTTTGCCAGTCCTAATCCAAACACCAAATTCTTTTTGTTTAAGCAAATACTACAGCAACTCCTCAAATTTCTGACAGAAATTTCCACTACCAGTTTCCTTTTGAGAAAACTATTTCCTTAGATTAGATTACATCAAGTTTCTCAGATCCAACATTGCAGAGAGAATATAAGAATGGAGAAAGTGTCATAACAGCTCAAGTGGAAGAAATAAATTTTAACTTAAGAGAATGTGATATCAGGATTTATACAAGTAAAATCTAAATCAAATCTTTAAAATGAGCAATATTTCAATATTTACTATTTAGAGTAAAGGAAAGTGAAGACCCGGAAGTTTAGTTTGCCTGGAACTCAGCATAAATGAAGAGAATATGAGTTTGCGTCAGACCACCAAGGGTCTTTTATAGTCAGCTACAGGCAGTCGGATGTTTTGAAAAGGGAATGACATGGACAACACTACTCTGTCAGCTGGTAACTCACCACCAGCTGGTAGACTCAGAACTAAAGTGCAGAGAAAAAGCTGGGCCTAAAACAAGAACATGACAATGGTAACAGGAGGGAACAGAGGAATAATTTCAGAAGCAGAATACACAGAATCTGACAACTGTTTAAATGCAGAAGACAAGGGAGAAAAAGGAGGATGACTCAGATCCTAAATTAAGTGTCTGAGAGAACACTTATAGAATGAAAAAAAAAAGAGAACACAGGAATAAATTTGAGCAGGGGCTGGGGCAAATGAGTTCAATTTTATACATAATAATTTTGCACTGTGGCATAAGGTTTAAGAGAGTACCAGGTCTAGAGTGGTTGCTTAATCCATGAGATTCATAAAGAATGAGTAGAACAGTAGTTTTCAACCTTGGCTGAACAATGGAATCACCGGGAATCCTTAAAAACAAAAACAAAAACTGGTATTTGAGCCCTATCCCCAGAGATTCTGATTTAATTGATTTGTAGTATGGCCTGGGCATTGAGACTTTAATTCCTCAGGTTATTCTTATGTGTAGCCCAGTTTGAGAATCACTAATGTAAAGGGAGAGACCCAAGGATAGATCCATAGAAAGCACCTAATTTACGGATCAGAAGGAGGAAGAAAAGCAAGCAGCAGAGAAGGGAAGACAGGGGTGGTTAACAACATCAAATGCTGCAGAAAAATTCAGGTTGACGAGAGCTAAAACATATCTTTGATTTGTCACTCAGGAGGGTATCTATCAGAAAGCAGTTTCAGTAGAGAGGTGAAGGCAGAAACCAGCTTGCAGAAGGGGAAGTGGGAATTAAAATACAGTTCTCAGGCTTTGGCAGGGAAGGGAAAGGCAGAAAAAGGACAGTGGATTTAGAAAAAGCTACGATGACAAGGATAAGGGAAACGAGTGTTTTATACCCCGAGGGGAAGGATCAAATAGAGGAAGAGAGACCGAAAATTTAAGGAGGGGAAAAGGGGAGACCAGTAAAAGAAGGAAATGAGACCAAGGATGTGAGAGTTTGGGTTGGTCTTGGTGATAACAGATTTCTGTTTTACTCTGAAGTTGTAGAAAAAGATGCAAAAGGAGAATAATAAAGACAATGGTGGAAGTAGATAGCTGAGAAGCAGAGGGAGTTCGCATAGGATGGGTTTGATGTTCTCAAGCCTGAAATTTTGTTCTATTAGTTATAGCACCCCTGCAATCCGAAATGTAGCCGGGAAAAACAAATCAATCAAATTTATCTTCTCCCCAGAAACTCTTGGGCTCATCGCTTGATTAGAAACAATTTGAAAATGGAGGCAGAAATAAGGACACAGCTTCTCTTTCAGAGTTTTTTGAAAAGTAATTTGCTGTCCCTCATCCTAGGCCTTTTTCCTGTAAGGCTCATTTATAAAAGTTGCATTATATTCTTTATATGCTATTTAACCCTGAAATTATTAAACCTCCTTAGTTTACTAGTGATTTGAGATATGGATTTATATCTTTAAAGAAATATTGTTCTCCTCACATTACTACTCTGAATAAAATTCTTCTATGGCTCTGCACTTTATTATAAGTTCTTCATTTATATTAAAACCTTCAGTATCCAATTCTAACCTGCTATCTAAAACGATTTTTTCTGAATCAAAAGGAAAAGTTTATTAGAAAAGGAACACCACTCCACAGAGCATGGACTCCTCTGAGAGGCACAGATGGGGACCTAAAACAATTTTTGACCATACGCCTTTAACTACAACCCTATCCTGCAGCCCCACCTATCTGCCATCCTTAAAAATACTATTTTCTCACCTCCATACTTTTGCTCTAGTTTCCAGTTTAGTATGCCCTCTACCTCTCCATATGTCCAGATTCTACTAATTCTTCAAGGCTCAACTCAAGTGATTCCTTCTCCTTATAGTCTTTCCAGATCTCCCAAACAGAATTAGCATCTCTCCTTCCTCTGAATTTGTCTTTCAAGTCTATGGCTTTCGATTGCATACAATAAAGAAAATTATATATTTGTCAATATAAGTCCCCCTCAAAGAAGTTTGAAGTCAAGAATCACCTCGCTTCAAAAGCTGTATCCCCAGTTCCCTGCTGTCACTAGATGCTGTAGACAGAAGTCTAACAGGACAGGAATGCGTGCTTTTTCATGGAGATCATTCCACTCATAATTATCATAATATAGCTGGGGTTGAGTAAGTCCTGCCTCTAGCAAGGGACAGGTAAACTAGATCAGCTATACAGGTCTTTTCCATCCCAGCTTCCTTCTCCTGGCCTATAATCCATACCCGTATTATATTCGTATTCTTATGGGTGTATCTTTTACCCTCAGTCAGCAGAAATATCTGAACACTAGTTAGATCCATTCCTTTTAGTTTTCAAAAACAATACTACGTTAAGTCCAAAAAAGGAATCATAAGGCAATTGCGAAGTGGTAGAAAAATGCGCTAAGTTTGGAATCAGAAGACATGGGCTTCATTTAGTTTTTGCTTTCTCCTTATTTGCAGTATGACCTCTACGCAATTGTGTAACTATTCTAAACCTTTGTTTCCTCATCTGTACAATGAAGATGGTCCCAGGGTTTAGGAGAATATTATGTGTAATGTGTGTGTGTATGTGTGTGTTTGCACTCCAAGCTTGGCTGTGTTAAGGAACTATCAGTCCGAGAACTGGCTACAAGGAGTCTATCACGTTCTCTTTTCTCGGGGACCTCTGCCTATTGCCTCTGCAGCGAAATAAAGTGACTGACCTTGGCCCAGTCTCCAACTTGGCAGTCACACAGTAGTGCCCTCAAAGGTGGCAGGAGTGCGTGTCCAGGGGCAAGTGGTGCAACCAAGCCAGTTTTGCTTCCCAACCAAATACCCTACACGCCAGCTCTGCCACTAGGACGCGGGGCAAGCAAGAGAAAGGAAGCGCTTAAGACTTCCAAGCTTGACTTGCCCCCGGTTTTGGAAGAGTCCGGGTCCTAGAAAGACCCACATTACCGAGAAACTTAGGATCCCAAAGAAAACGCTTCCCACGTTCCGGAAAAGATCCGGCAACAACCAGAGTCGCCACTCCCAGCTCTCAAGTGAGACCCTCGTTACCCCGCGCCTCTACGAATAACGCCAAACACTGCCATGGGTAAAATTACCATAAACCTCTAGCGCTTTCTCTTCCATGATCCGGGGCTGCCGGGCAGCTCCCCGCTCAAAGAGGCCCGAGAGCCACACGGCTCTGCTCAGCGTCCAGGAAAGCAGCCCCGACACCCGCTCCATTCTCACGCTCCGCCATCCCTGGCGACTGTCCCACCCGAGCCACCGTCTTTCAGCAGCTGGCCTCGCGATTTATCAACTTTCCGGTCTTCAAAGGGCCAAGACGAGCCTAAAGGTCCTGGAGAGCAGAAAATAGGCGGGTCCGGACCGAGTACCGCGGAGCACTTAGGGAAGGGCGCCAAAAGTACCACAAGCCCCAGCATGCTTTGCTCGGTTTCGGCGGGACTAGAGAAAAAAATCCTCGCGGCACGTGAGGCGCATTGCGTGCTGGGACGTATGAGACGTTTTCTTCGGAAGACAGCTGTATTCTGGGGCGTGTAGTCTCCGCCAGGAGTGGGGAGTGGAATATAACGGTCTATTCATCCGCCACTGATTACCTCACTCAGCGCTCTCCATAAGCTATAGATGAATCTTGAAGAGGTAGGGGAAAGGAGACCTTGATTTCTAGCCCTGAGGAGCGTGTGCGCGGAGTCTCTCCACTGTTATTACTCGGAGAAAGCAGCTTCCAAAGTTTTCTCACTTCCTAGTCAGGCCGGAAGTGAGTTTCCGTTGCCGTGAAACGGGATGTCTTAGGAGCCCAGTAAGAATAATTAGGCATGGC